CAAATTGGCACCATTTTATTTACTATTATTCACCGGTGACCTTACCAGGTACCCGTCTGTGCCTGCGCCTCCTGGCCTGCATTTCCCAGGCCTGGGCCAGTGTTCTCATCCTTCAGCTGCACGTTCTCTTAGGCAGTAATGCCCCTTCCCAGGGCCCCTGGCAGTCACCTCTAGTCACCTACATGGACGGGTCTGGGAGGCTACTGGAAACTAGGAGCTGGATGGGAGTCTGGCAGAGGTCAAAGTTCAAGACAAGTGCAGGCAGGTTTCCCTTCTGGGTCACAACGGGCTGTGACTCCCATCAGGCCATGGGGTCACTGCACTTCAGAGTTAGGGATGAGATACCAGAGGTCAGGCTGCTCAGGTGGGCAGGGTGTGGCTTCCCCTCTCTTCATGACCCACCCTCCTTAAGGGGAGTGCATGGGCCCAGCTGGTGGACAGCGTTTGGCTGAGTGCCCGCCCCATTGCTGGGATTCCTTCTTCAAGTCCCACTCCCCTCAGTACAGCCCCCACGAAACAGGGCACCGAGGCGCGGGGATGGGGGTCGAATCCCAGCCCGCTGTGAGGGCCAGCCGCCCACACCCCTGACACCCCCCCTCCAAAACTGGCCTTGACCCGTGGTCCAGCCCACCTGGCCTCGTGGGTCAACACCAGCTCCTGACCCAGCCTCCCAGGCAGTCCCCACCAAGTCAGGGGTGATTTAGCCAAATGCCAGGAATGGGGGGCTCTCAGGCTCCCACAGATCTTCTGGCCTGGGCTGCCAGGGCTCTAGGGGTGTCAGACTCTGTGACCCCAGGGTCTGTCCTGGCGCGCAGTGGGGTGGGACCTGCAGGCATGCTGAGCTGGCCACAACTCTGTCCTGGTGACTTGGGGTGCAAATGGGCAAGAGGCCCTGTGGGCTTGGGTGGGGTAATAAGAGATGGCGGAGGCTTGAGCGTCAGTTTCTCCATGCCAGCCCTACCCCTGGGTGCTCTGTGGTCCTCATTCTCAGGACCTGGGCCCCGGGGGCGTTGAGAACCGTTTCTTCTTCCTCACTGTGCCCCCTTCCTCCCTCCTCCCTGGGCTCACTCCAGCCACTCAGCCCACTCAGCTTCTGCAGGTATTCAGGGCCCACGGGCTCCCTCGTGACCCCACCCAGACCCACAGAGTCAGCACGCAGGCCCCTCACTGTTTCCAGAACAGGGCACCTGGGCATTCCTTGACGTTGCCCTGGCAGGAATGTTCTCTCCAGCACGGGTGCCCAGGCCCAGGCCCCTCTGCAGCCCCCGGCCTCCTGGGTGTTTCCTGCCTGCAGTCGCCTTTGCCAAGGTCTTAGCTGCTGTTCCACCCTTTATGGAGGCCCAGCCGCATTTCCTGCATTTGTTCATTCATTCCATCAGCGTTGGAGAAGCTCGAGGCTGTGAGCGCAGGAATGAGCGAGATGGGCAGGTTTTCTGCCCTGGGGTCTGCAGACTGGGGGCTTCTGGGCCCTGGGCACCGGAAGGCAGGGTCTGGAAGGCACTCGGGCCCCCCTCACCTTCCCTGCCAAGGCAGGGTCGCAGGCCACTGAAAGCAAGTTAGAGAGCCGGGGGATGGGGACAGGGCTGGATGCCCAGCGTGAGGCAGGAACTGGGGGAGGGGGGCGCCAAGGGGCCAGGCCATTGGCAAAGTCAGTGGGTGGCTGGGAGGGGAGGAGAACAATCGACAGTCTCCCAGCCTCAGCTTAATTCCCTGGGCAAACAGCCTGGTGTGAGGGCCCAGAGGGCCAGGGTCTGGGCGGGGTGGGCTGCTCGCAAGAGGCTGCCACCCAGTTCCTGGGACGCTGGCTTTCCTGGCGCTTGCTTCACGGGGAGGGGCTGGGGCTCACACCAGGTGCTCCCCACTCCCATCAGCAGGGCCAGGGGGCTCTAGCGGGAGGCGGCCGTCAGCACTGTTGTCCCATCTTGGTTAATGTGTACCCCACCTCTCCCTGCCCTGCTGCTCCCACTGGTTGGTTTCTGGGGGGCAGTGCCCTCCAGCTGGTGCCTGCCTGTTCCTGACGCACATGGGGAAGTTCAAGTCCCAGCATGCCCATCTCGGTGGCTCTGACCTGTGTCACCTGTGCCTGTGCCCCAGGAGGAAGGTGACCCCCCAGGGCTTCCATGCGCCTCCCCAGCTCACTCTGGTCAGGAGGACGAGGAAGGCCTCTGGAAGCCCCCTCCCCTGCCCCCGGGCGCCTCCCCTCCCCTGTCACCTGTGTTTTCCTCTTCATCACACAAGAATGTGTCAGCAGGACCTGGGCTGGGCTCCCGTGGCCATTGTTAACGCAGGCCCCTCCCCACACCCCCGCCCCCGGCAGGCCTGGGCCTGCCCCAGAGGCCCACTCCCCCCTGCCAGGAGTCCAAATACACCTGTTTACCTTTGGGCCGCAGCCCAGGATGGAAGGACCTGACTCCTGACCACTCTCCCCCTCCTGCCCTCCGGCTCACCCTCTTCCTTCCGAAAGCCTGGGGCCCGGGGGTGCCTGGGCTGGGTTGGGGGGGAGCAGTTCCTGCCCAGCCTGCAGGAGGCCTGGCCTGTTTGTTTCAGCAAAGCATAGGACTCAGGGTTGCCGGGAATGCCCAGGGCCTTCCAGACATCCCAAGAGTCCTGGAAGGGGAGGGGGTGGCGGGTCCCCTGGAACAGGATGTGCCCGGCGGGAGGGGAGGCCCTCTCAGGTCCAAGCGCCTGCCCGTCCCCCTTGCACGAGGGAGAATGGGGAAAAGGCAGCAAGTTAGGGGACAGACGTGGCTACTTGCTTGGGAAGGGGCTCCCCCAACCCCTAGAATGGGGTGGCTCAGGGGCCTGTTACTCAAGGGCGGGTTTCAGGTGGGGGCGAAAGGAGGAACTTGAGCAGAGAACGTGGGTCTGGAACTCGAAGTCCCCTTCCCCTTCAACACAGGGTGCTGGACCCAGGCCCCAGACCAGGCCACGGGGTGGGCAGGCGTTCAGGGGGTCCACGCAAGTGGCCATGACGGGGCGTGGGGATGCGGCAGGGCCCTCTTCTAAGGACATGCCCTCAAGTGCCCGGTGCCGTGGACCTCCGTGTCTGCAGCTCGTGGTGGAAGGGCGCACCGCATCTCTCAGGGACTGCCAGGAGCCCAGGGAGCATCTTCTCCAGAAAGCCCCCCGCCAAGGCTCAGGGAGGGGAGCTCGGGGATGCTGGAGCCACGTCTTCCTTTCAGAGTCTCCGTCTAGGCTTTGGCTGCAGATTGAAAGCATCTGGGGACCTTTAAAAATGCTGATGCCTGGGTGCCACCCCCAGACTCTGGTCCCACCGGGGGAGTCTTTCGTGCAACCAGGGACTTCGGCTTTCACTCACCTAGTGGGGCGGTTCTGCCCCTGACCTTGCCCCTCTGCCACTGGCCCTGGCCGGGCCCCGGCAGAGGGTTAGGAGCGGCCAAGCGGCGTGTCCACCTGTCTGTCTAGACCGTATCCCCTGCGGCCGGGGTTGGAGGCTGATCCTGGGCACCATCGGAGACCCTGGAGGCTGGGGGCCCTGGACAGGAGGGATGGTGGGGGTGGGGCAGAGAGGAGAGCCGGCGAAGGGAGGCTCGGGCAGGGCTGGCCAACTGTGCAAGGGGATGGGCTGGCTTCTGGGCTCCGCGAGGCCACAGCCCCCTGGCCCTGCCATGTGTGTGCCCTTCTGAAATATTTGGAATAATTAACAAGTGAAAGCAGCAAGTTAGCAGGGGGAATGCCAGCTTGGCCTGGGGCCGAGCTTGAGTGAAGGGAAAGAAAAGGGATTGGGGAGAAGGAGGTCTGTGGGGGAGGCTGGGCAGGACAGTGCCCATTTGTGTGTGTGTGTGTGTGTGTGTGTGTGTAGAGGGGGTACCAGGCAAAATTGGGGTGAGGGGATTAAAGATGCCAACGCGTATCTCCTCTGCCTCAGTTTCCCTATAGACCGCCGGTGGGCTGGCTCCTCACGGAGTGTGAGTGGGTGAGTAGGGCCTGGGTACCTCGACTTTCCCGGTGGCCTTCTGGGCTGGGGCGGGAAGGCGTCTGGCTGTGGGAGCAACACCAGGATGGGAAGTGGGCCCCTCAGGGTGAGGCCCTCCGTCCTCATACCCAGTCCCTGGGGGAGAGGGCCGAGGGGGAGGTGCTGGAGTGGGGCCCAGGCTGGGCCCACACAGGCGAGCCCGGGCAGGCCCTCACAGTGGGGATCAGAGCCCAGCCCCGGGCAAGCTCTGCCTTTGAGAGTCCCCAGGGCCCGGAAGGGGTTGTGCTTCCTCCGCTGACCACGCCGCCAGGGGCCGTGGGCGCCATTTCTCCCCATTGCGCAGATGGAGGCGCTGAGGCCCAGGCTGCAGGGATGCCCCCCAACCCCCACAGCTGCCTCTTGGCCCCTTTCTCCCTGGGGATACTGAGGTGTGGGGGTCATCGGGAGGCATCCTGCAGGCCTCCAGCCATCCCTCCTTCAGGCAGGGAAGAGAAGCCCCCCCCCCCTGCAAAGGAACCAAAACAAGCCACCCCGGTCCTTGTCACGTCCCCCAAAAGTTGCAAGCAGGTCCATCTCCAAATTTTTTAAAACTTTATTCTTAAAAATTGTTTTATTGTAAATAACTTTCCATGAAAAAGGTTAAATTGCCCCATGGGGCAGGAGGGTGGATGTGGGACGCAGCCGGTGGGGGGGGGTTCAGGGTGGGGGAAGAAACTCCCCTCCAAAAGTGCAGGCAGGGGTGGGGGCGATTCCCCCTTCCTGGTCCCCGTGGTGCTGGCCCGCGCTAGACACCCCCCAGACACCCCCGTGAGGCCTTGGCTACAGCTACTCACTACGTTAGTGTGCGGTGCCCCTCCCCCCCGCAGCGCCGCTGCCCCGACCCCAGCCCCACCGCCGACTCCCCGCTGCTCTCAGCCTTGCCGGGCTCGAAGGTGAGGGCTTCAACCCACTGCCCCACCTCTGGGGATGGAGCCAGAAGACCCCAGAGGCCTTACAGAAAATCTCCGTGCCCGGCACCCCGACCTCGCTCTGTCTTCTCTCTGCCCCCCTCCCCCAGCTCCACCCCATCCACTGCCACCCCAGCCCCAGGGAGGCTTTGCCGGGAGAGGCCTCCAGGGGGTTAATTTGCTGTCACCTAATTAGCATTTGTTGTACCTGGGAACTTTCTCTGGATAGAGACCTGGGGAGGCGAGCAGGAGAAGCGGGAGCTGAAGTGCTCTGGGGCCGGCCCTGTGCGGTCGCTCCCAGCCCGGCCAGGCCCCCAGGCTGCGCTCGCTCCCCCAGTGCAGGGCGCCTTAGCCGGCCCCGGGGCGGGGCACGAGGACCAATGAAACACTGTGTGTATGGGGGGCCGGGGAGGGGAGGCAGCGATTCTAGTCCCGCGCCCCCAGTTCTCAGCCTCCTGGGCTCGAATCTGAGGGCGCCCGGGCTGGGGCGGTGTGGCCTGTGGGGCCAGCTCTCGGGAGGCCCGGCCCAGCCCCTGCCTGGACAGTAGGGGGTCCGTGGGCCGGTGTTGGGGGGCGGTCTGGGCCCCGACTCGGGCACTGTCTGGAGGTGGGGCGGGGCCTGGTCTCTTACAAGAAGGCGCCCACGCTGGCCCAGTCGTGCAGGTCGGCGGCCAGGCTGGCGTCCCCGGCCTCAAAGAGGGGCTCTGGGGGCAGGCAGCCGCTGCCGCTCTCGTCCCAGGGATGCTGCAGGAAGGACGTGGCCAGGAAGGTCTCGTCGAAGTCCAGGCTGTCGGCAGCCTGCTCCGCCGGAGGCCCCCAGGTGGCGGGGCAGTCGATGTGCCGCCCGTGGACGGTGAGGTCCACGTCCCCGTGCGCGGCGGGGCTCAGCGGCGGGCTCAGCTCCAGGGCCTCCAGCGCGCCCAGCTCCCCGCCCAGAGCGCCGGCGTCGAAGATGGCCTCCCAGTCAAAGTTGCCTTTGAGGGGCTCCAGCTCGCCCTGCTCCTCCTGGGTCAGCAGCAGGGTGCTGGGGGGCCGAGGGGCCTTGGCCACCCGCTTGGGCAGAGGCTGTTTGCGCTTGTGCCCCAGCCGGCCCTCGCCCGCGCCCCAGCCCCCCTCCCCGGTGGCCTCCTCGAACTCCCGCAGCAGCTGCTGGGCCTCGGTGTTCACGGTCAGCGGCCCGGCCCAGGGCGCGGCGCGGGGCTCCTGCGCGGCCTGGCGGGCGAAGGCGGGGTGGATGTGCACCGGGGGCAGCCGCCGCTTCTTGAAGGCCCCGCTCAGTAGCCGCTCAGCGTACTGGGGGTCAATTCGCCAGAAGCCCCCCTTGCCGGGCTCGTCCTTCTCCCGAGGGACCTTGATGAAGCACTTGTTCAGGGACAGGTTGTGGCGGATGGAATTCTGGGCGCGGGAGAGAGCGAGAGGCAGAGGACGCCGGGTGAGCGAAGGGTCAGAGGGTATTGGGGCTCCGGTGCTTGTCCGCCCCCCACCCGCGGCCCCCCCCACCCCGACGGGGCAGGGGAGGACGGACGCTGCTCTGGGACACCAGCCACAGGCACCCGGAGCCGGGAGTGCTGTGGGGGGCTTTTGTTCCCTGTTGCCGGGATATCTGCCTGCCCAGTCATCCGAGCCCCGAGCTGCAGGGTGGCTCCAGTGCCACCCCCGCCGCTTGTGGTCTCTGGCCAGAGACCTCAGCTCCCCCAGGGCCTGGACCGCCATCTCCCTCGGCCTGCGCTGGCTGGCCTGTTTGGAGCGGGCACAGGGCGGGGGTGGGCGTCGGCAGGGGTGTGTGTGTGTGTGCAGGACAGAGTGGGGGGGTCTGATGACTTTCCTGGGTTGTGGAGCTGGCTGCTGCCCCCCCAACGGTCCTCCTCCTGCCCCAGGCCCTGAGGCCTCAGGTGATTATAACTCAGCCAAGAGCACAGTGCTTATTCCGGGGCCTGGCTTCCCAGGCGTGGGGCAGGGTGGGGGTCTCTGCTTTCTCATTGAGGCTACAGGTGGCACTACCCCTGGGTCAGGGCCCAAGCAAATGCAGAATAGCTTGGGCCTGGCCCCTGTGGGTGCCCCAGGAAAGAGGCTGGGCATCCTCCAGGCCACTGGACCCACTGGATACCTAGTGGCCAGACTCTTCAGGACAATGCCTTCCCAACCTGAAATCGCCATCCCGCCCAGGCCGCTCCCAGGGGCTGAGTCCTGTCCAGACCATGCTGGGGGACAAGGGTCCAGGGTCAGACAGCAGGGCGCATGGGTGGGTAGGGACCCCTGGCCAGGAGGGGATGTTTACATGGCGGCCCAGGCCCCTTGGCTGCTCTGTGTCAGGTTCTGGAGACTTGGAACATGAAGCCAGAGCGGCAGGCAGAGTCCCTGTGGAAAGCACCTGGCTCAGGTAATTGTCCCCCCAGGGAGGTTGCCTGGGGGTGGGAGGGTGGAGGCAGGAAACTGGGGAGGGCCTGGGTGGGGGGCAGGGACAGAGCTTTCGGAAGGCCCAGACTCCTTCCACTGGGACACAGCCGCCTGCACGCCCTGCGGCACCCCTCTTTGGCCCCTGCACCCCAGCCACCTTGGAAAGCTGGTCACAGAGCCTGGCAGGAGGCAGTGCTCCAGCTTCCTCTTCTGAGTGGGCCCCACAAACCGTGCTTGGGCAAGGCAGTGTCTGGGAATTCTAGGACTTGGGACAAAAATGCGTCCCTCAGTCCATCACCCGCCCCCAGGCGACCATGAGCAGGCAGAGTCCAGCCTCAGTCGCTGGCTGGGTCTGCTGGACCAGCGGCCACTTGAACCTCACTGAACCCCTTGGCCAGCACTGTCTGCGCCCCACCGCCCTCCGAAGGCCCCCCTCCTCCCTCTCTGGAAGTTAAGGGGGGGCCGGCCCAGGCCCGGCTCCTTGCGGTCCTCGACAGCTTCCTCTCTTCAGGGCCCCAGGCTGCACCGAGCAGACTGCCTGGGACTGGGGTGGAGTCCAGTGATCGAGGCGGGCAGGGGGAGAGAGAGGGGGGCTCACCACCCGCACCCCTACCTGCCAGGTGGGGTCTGCGTGGCGGAAGTAGCAGAAGTTGTCGGTGATCCACTTGTAGATGGCCGACAGCGTGATCTTGGTGGCCTTGCTGGCCTGCATGGCCATGCAGATGAGCGTGGCGTACGAGTAGGGCGGCTTCACGTGCGGGTTGGTGGCGTAGTCCACGTCGTCGGGGGGCGGGGCCTGCAGCCCGGGGGTGCGCTCCGGGACGTGCAGGACGAGGTGGGCTTGCCGGCGTGTGCGGCTGCCCCAGGCAGGCGGGGTCGGCCGCCAGGGGCGAGCCGGGGGCAGCCGAGCCTGGCACCTGGTGGTAGCCGTGGGGGTCGGTGCCCCCGGGGGGCAGCGCGGGGGCCTTGGCGTTGAGAATGGAGAATTCCTGCAGCCACTGCAGGCTGGTCAGGCTGTCATCCAGGGCGTCGGGCTCCTCCAGGCCGCCCTCCGGCCCGGCCTCCTCGGCCGCCACCGCTCCCGAGAGGCGCAGCCAGCTCTCCGCCATGTCTGCGGGGACGCTCCGAGGGGGCGGTCAGCATCCACGGGCTGAGCCGCGCGTGGCCCGCCGCGCTCCCCGGACCGCCGGCTCCCGGGGCTCCAGTTACACCGCCTGGCGGCCGCGCGCTCCCATCCCGCGGGCTGGGGGTCGGCTCCTCCCGGCGCGCCTGCGGGGCCTGCGGGGCCACAGCCGAGTGAGGAGCCTCCCCCACCCAGGGGAGGGGAGGGGGCGCCCCCGAGGCTCCTTCCCCCCGCTGGGAGGAAGCTTTAGGGCCGAGTTCTGGGAACTGAAGCGGTGCCCGGGACCCGGCTCCCTCAGGTCCGCCCCGCTCCCCTCTCGGAGGCTGCAGAGACGTCAGCCCGGCGAGGGAAGAATGTGGGGCGTCGGGGGCGCGCCCTCTTCTTCTTCCCGGGGCGGGAGGTCACACTCCCCCTCCCCACGCACTTGGAGAGCGGCCGGGGCCGGGAGGGCCGCACGCGGGCGGGGCAGGAGGGTCGTCTGGTCCCGGGGAGGGGATCCGGGCAGCGCGCCGGGGAGGGGAGCGGACAGGCCGCGAGTTGTGGGGGCGCCCAGAGCGCCTCGGACGTCGGTCGTTACACCCACCACCCCGTCGGGGGCGGCTGGGAGAGCGAGCTGGACCCACGTCCCCTGTGCCGCCGTCCACGGCCCGCCCTGTCCCTTACCTGGCTCAGAGCGCAGCCCCGGTCAAAGGAAGGTTCTGGAAGAAGTTCCTCCCGCCCCCCGCGGCTCTCTGCCCCCAGCTCGAGGGCCCTGCCAGCGGCCCTCGTCGCCCCCCCGCCCGACGGCGCCTCTCTGAGCGCCCGCGGCTCCGGGACCGGCATTAAGTAGCCGCTCCAAAGGCTTCTCCTGCTGCCATGGCGACGCTCCGCCCCCATAAACAGCTTCCGCGGCTGCCATTGGCCGGCACGTCTCCAAGGAGACCGCGGGCGCTCGCCGCTCGCTCCGGCGGTAACTCTCGGAACTCCCGGCTCCTGCCGCGCTCGCCCGCGCCGCCCGCCCCGCCCGCCCGCCCGCCCGCCCGCGCCTTCCCGCCCGCGGCCCGCGCGCAGGCCGGAGAGGCGCGCGCCTGCCCCCCGCGGCCCGGCGCCCGCCCCCGCCTGTGCAGCCGCCCCGAGGGGGCGACGGCCGCGGGGCCCTCGGACCCGCACCGGGCCGGGCCGGGCCGGGCCGGCGAGGGGTCAGGCCCGGGAGCCGACAGCCCGGGGCGCCGGCCCGCCCCCCGCGCGCTGCGGCTCCGCTGCTCGTCTCCGCGGCCTGCGCCCCGCCCGAGCCCGCGTCCTGCCGCCTCTGGGGCCGGCGGGCGGGCCCAGCGCCCCTGCCACCCGCGGCCCCGCCCGCAGCCCTGGCCGCCCGGCGGGCGCATCGCATCGGGGGAGGGTCTTCCCGGCCTGGCGAGCGGCGCCCGCCCCGCGGGGCTCCCGGGAGCTGCGTTCCCGAGGCCTCGGTGGGGCAGGGCTGTCCCTCCTTTCCAGACAGCGGAGGGAGCAGAGCCCGTGGGTAAAACCCGGGAAAGCCAGGGACTTGCCAGGTTTTCCTAGAGGGTCATCTGCCGTCGGTGTCACCTGACTGGGGCGTGGGGACTGGGGCCTCCCGCCTCGGCCCTGGCCCCCGCCTGTCACCAGCTTTCCTGCTCAATTATTGAGGAGCAGCAGGGCTGGGTGATCTCTGGTTTAAGGGCTGCTGAGGTGAGGGCGGGGGTGAGGGCTCCTTGCTGGACCACTGCCCAGGAGCCGGAGGGCCGGGGCGCTCAGCCTGCTGCCCGCGAATGCCACCCCAAGCTTGTCCTTCCCTCCCCTCAGCTCCCCCAGATTCTCTGGAGCAGAAAAACGACCAAGTGCTGGAGAAAGTCGGACAGAAACTCACACAAGCCAGCTGCGCCGTCAGAGACTCCTTCCCTTGTAAACAGTTTTATTCACTTTAAGTCATGCAGCAATCCATAAATATTGCGTCCTCCACGTCCCACTGCCGTTCGCCCGCGAGCATACGGGAGCACGAGGGGCACCCCGATGGCACAACAGCACACACCGCAGGCGCCAAAGCGAGGAGAGCCACCACAGCCAAGGGCAGGCGCACCGGACGCGCTCTGCCCAGGGAGACAGCCGAAAGCGTGTGGGCCGTGCCCGGGATGCCCCCGTGGGCACCAACTCTGGTGGGGTGGGGCTGGGGTGGGAGGAAGGGAGGTTGCGCGAGGAGGCCGGGTCAGCACCCCACTGGAGGCTGCCTTCGGTGTCAGACCTGGTGTGGCCGGGGGCCGCTGTGTGTCTGTGCACCGGCCAGGCCCGGCCCTTTCTCCCGGGCGGCCTGCCTGCCGCAGTGACCTCTTTGCACATGATCGGTGGAGCAACAGGGCTGGCGGTGCCCGGTCCCTAACTGGGCTGAGGACCAGACCCTTGGGGTGGGAACTTCTGCTATGGACACAAGGTAGAGATGGGGCGTGGGGGTGGCAGGAAGTGTCTGAGAAACAAGGTGTGAGGGGTTATTTCTAAGCCCGCTGTGGAAGCCAGGTCGGATGACTCCTTCTAGTCTCTGTCCGGAGAGCACCCGACGGGGCTGTGGCTGCTGTGAGGACAGGCCCTCCAGAAGGGCGAGGAAAAGGCTTCCTGCAGGGAGGGAGATGTGAGTGCCCTCCAGGCCCAGGGCCACTCCCCCTTCCCTGGTGCTCCTGGGGTGCCACCTTCAAGGAACTCAAGAAGAGGGGTCCCTGCTCAGATTCCAAGTCTGCAAGGGGCTGAGGGTGCTGGGGGAAGGAAGGGTGCTCAGTGGGGCCTGAAGAGCGGGGTTGGGGACGGTGGACTCAGGCCAGGCCCACGTCACATGGTTAGGGCCAAGGCGGACGTGAGCCACCCCCATGCGACAGCGTGAGGCCACCACCCGCCGGCGGTTTCAGAGGCCACACGGAGGGCGAGGGCTCCCGGGCACGGGGTCCAAGGCCACTAGCCTTGGAAAGGGTTCTGACGAGCCCTCTAGGGTGATAGGCCTCAGGCGCTGCCATATCTCAGCCTCAAGCTGTCCTGTCTTCCTAGTCTCATGCTCCGCCCACCCCTAAAGACAGCAGACAAGGCAGACATTGGGAATGAGGGGGGTCTGTTGATAACCCCGTGTTGAGAGAAGTCATGGCGGGGCTCGCTCCTGGCCTTGCTGGTTCAGCTTAAGTTCAGGCGCCCTTCAAAGGCTGAGCGGCCCACGAGGGGAATATCCATCTCTAAATGGCTCATAACACCTATGGAGGGCAGCCCCTCCCCTCCCCCAGCAGGCTCAGCAGGCCTGGACGGCAGAGAGGGTAGGGGGACACCCAGGCCAGTTGCTGGGCCCCCGCTCAGCACCCCACACCCACTCCCTTTGGGCTTCCTGGGAATGCATTTGAGAATCGCTGGCCCACCCCTCTCAGCCTGGCTCGACTATGAACACAAAGGGGTGCAGCCGGGGACGGCAGGGCTGAGGGTCCACACCCAGCCGCAGGAGATGGACGTGAGGTCAGGCGGCCTCCCGCACGGAGCTTCTAAGTGTGGTCCGGGCAGAGCCCAGGCCTGCACCTGGGCAGGAGAGACCCTCCGGAGGGCCACAGCTGCGTGGGGAGGCCGGGGCTCCAGGTCTCCTACCTAAGCAGACCCCCGGGGCACAGGCCGGATCTGCTGCCAAAGCAAGGCTGCCCTGCCCGCCAGCCCTCAGGCCCCGTCCTCGCCCTTCCTTGAGGCAGCTCCACTTCCAGCCCACGCTTCCCCTCCTCGCAGCGGCCTCCCTCCACCCCACCCCAAACTGGAGGTTTCCAACGGGCTGTGACATACAGGGGCTGGGCACTGGTCCTGGAGCTGCCCACGCCGGGCAGCTTGGCCTACCCCTTACGGGGAGAAAAGGTGCGCAGGGAAGCGGGGGGCCGTGGTCCCCAGCCCCTCCCGAAGACCAAGACGCGGTGGAACAGTCCCTTGTCTCTGCAGAGGGGCTCAGGAGCCGCCGTTCACGGTGCTTTGGCCCCAGGAGAAGAGGCTTCTGGTCCCTTCCGGCGGGCGGGGGCGGAGGCGGCCGGGGCCAGCTCTCACCGGGGTACAGTCTGCCAGTGTCCTGCTGAGGATGCCCAGGCCAGCGGTCCAGTGAGGCCAGGATGGAATGTGGGGGCTGGGGCGGGGGGAGCCCTGGGCCAGGGGCGGCTCTCAGACAGCCAAGGGGCCCCAGACGCAGGGTCTGTTCTCGGGGTCCTCCAGGCTGCCGGATGACAGGCGCCGGCGCTGCAAGTTCCGCCGACTGGCGGCGTTGTCGTCGGGCTGCCAGGGACCTGGAGGAGAGGAAGGGAAGGTGTGAGGAGCCAGGCCTTTGGCAGGGCCGCCCAGGAGCCTGGCACAGAGCTAGCAGGAGGTCTGTCACCCGAAGCGCCTAAGCGTGTGCAAGCCACGGCTTGGGGGAGCGTGGGGAGAAGAGGGTGCCCATGGCTGCCGGAGCTGCCCCTGCCTTGGTCTCGGTAGTCATGGCCACCGAGGCCCAAAGGCAGGGAGGGACACGCGAGCTCCCTGTTCTGCCATCTTCCCTGTGACCCACTGGCTTCTGTTTGGTTTCGCAGTTTGCCCGTGTCAGAGGGAGGAAGAGGCTGCAAGCAGCTGTGCTTGTCCTCCGGGCAGGGGGGCAGTGAGGGGGGGCTCTTCGGGGCCCAGCGTGTGTGTTTGCTGTGGGAGCCGGGTGGAGCAGGAAGTGGCTGGCTGCCAGCAGGGTGCCAGGGACAGAATGGCATGGGGGAGGAGGGGCCCTGGCTTCAGCACCCCTGCCCCCCAGCTCTCTCTGCGGCCCAGCAGCAGGCTGGGGTTGCTATCAGCGGGTGCCTCAACCCCAGGAGAGCCTAGCTCAGGAGCCTTGGGGCCCCCAGGCATCACCCGCTAAACTCATTGTCCTCCCCCAAATCGACCACCGCTGCCCAGGCATCACTGGCTGTCCCAGCTGGGATTCCGCCCTTGGTTCCTCTCTGTGGCCAGCCCAGCACTACCGAGCTCACCCCTGGCTCGGGGCAGGGTCCGGCTCCTCCCAGCCTGTAACCGCTGACCCTGGTCCCAGGAGACGCTCATGCTCTGCTCCTCCCTCACAAGGCCGCAAGACTGGCAGGGTGCCTGGCTCCCGGGATGTGCTAACAGCCAGCCCCAGGCTGTGCCCCGCCCTCTTCATCTGGATCTCCCTGCAGCTGTAACCCCCAGCAAACTGGCCCTTTCCAGTGCTGCCCTCAGTTGCCCACAGGCCCAGGCCTTCGCTTCCGGGAATCTCTGGAGCTGCCTCTGTGGCCCGCTCCCTCCCTCACCAGGCCAGAAGTCCAGGGTACCCTGAGTGTTCCCCCATCACCCGTCCCTCCCACTTATCACACTGTGTGGGAATCCCTGAACCCCCAAACCCCTGGGCAGGGCCGAGCACAGGCAGGCCCATCAGAGGCGGAGGCTGGTCCTGAGCTCACGGCATCCACACCCCTTCCGTGCCAGGAATGTTAGGATTAAGCGGGTGCAAATGGCTTATTTCCCATCAATGTCCCTGAGTGATAATCCACCCCGAGGCTCAGCAGTCTGAGGAGGTGGAGCAAAAAAGCCTGAGGGAGCTCTCACGCCCACAGAATTTGGGGCGCTGAATTTCCTGTGGGTGCAGGCGTCTGGGACATGGGTCAGGTGCCGCTTTCCCTCTGGGGGGGGGGTGCTCGACCTGTGACAGCAGCAATAGAAGGCTCTAGCCTTTTCAGTTTGGAACCCCCGAATAAAGTGAGTCGTTTGTTCATTCGTGTGGTTTGGCAGATCTCATACCTATTCCTCAATGTTTATGGGGCAGGACTCCGGAGCTGCGGCTGTGCGGTGGGAAAGACCAAGAGCAAATGGTAAACGAGAGAGAAGACACACAGACACGCACAGAATCAAAACGCGGCCGCGTCCTGGCCGATCCACAAGGACTCGCCGTGGAGAACCCTGGGCCGGGAAACTATTTCCTCTGGAGCCGACTCGGGGCTCTTCTCCCTGGGCCCTGACATGCCCCGCCGTGAAGACACGGGGCGCGAGAGCCGGGAGCGGCGCCCGAGAGAGGACGGGCCTTGGCCCCTGGCGTGGAGCCCGGGGTTAGACTTCCCTGGAGGAGACAAACAGGTGCTTCAATTCAGACCCCGTTGGGGGACTCAGAAAAGAGAGCATGGAGCCCCCTAGAGGTCGATTTGGGGAGCACACTTAGGGAAGTCCTGCGCCCCTGGCCTGCCTCTCCCCAGCCGCTGGCTCCCTTTTTCCAGCGCTGTAACCGCTCAGTGCTGTCAGGGCCTCCTCTGCAGCGAGCAGGACTTAATTTTCAGTGTCTACGAAGTGTAGACGTTCTAGCAGCATCTGAGGCTTGGGTTATGAGGCTTGAAGAACAGAGTGAATTCTCTGCAGGTCTCCTCCGCCATTTCCAGCGTGCACTCAGCACGCCCATTCTCCCATAGTTTGGTCATTTAAAACACGTGCTTGTAAGTCCACGTACAAACCCAGACGGCCCTTTCTTTTCTCCGCCTCGTACCCCACCCAGCGGCTCGTCCAGGCGTGATACCCGGGGATCAGGGGCCCCTACCCCTATCTCCTGCCACCATGGGTGTCTGTCGGTCCCCGGGACCAAACTGACTTGGTTTGGCCTCGAAACGCTAACCTGCTCACCACCTACTCCTGCCACCTGAATGCCCCCTTCGAGGACCCCTCACGACTACCCTCTGGTGCTGGGGCCCAGGGTGACTGGAAGCTTTTAGGAGAAGGGGCGGGGCGGCCACAGGCTCCCTCCGCCTAGCTCCTGAGGGGGGACCAGCGCGGATGGCAGGTGGGTCCTGACAGCTGCCTGTCCTGGGGGAGCACAGGTTGCCCCCTCGGGGGAAGCAGACTCAGCAGAAACTGGGCTCCAGAGCAGTCGACCCAAGGCCATGCCCAGGCCAGCGAGGAGGCCACGGGTAAGTCGGGACCAAGAGCTGAGCATGTAGGAGACCTGCCCCGGGGCCTCACAGTGGGTGCCCCTGTTAATCCAGCAGACTCTTCCAGAGAGTTCCCCAGTGCTTTGCTATGAGTGTGGTGCTAGCGGGAGACCCAGGGAAACGTTTAGCCAAGCCAGCGCTTTCCCGCGGGCCCGAGAGCCCCAAGGCCTCGGGGAGAGTCCGTGGAGCACCCCACGTTCCTCGCCCATGTGCGGCCTGAGCTGCGGCCCCAGATCAATCAAAGCATTTCCTGAGGTCACCACAGGAACCCCAGGGGTTTGTTCTTCCTCCCAGTCACGCTCCCTCCCGCAGTCCCCTAAGTGAAGAAAATATCAACAAGCAGGTTGGCCGCAGGGAGTTAGGAAGAGGAGGAAGCAGAAGGCGCGAGCTCCGTGTCCGCCAGTGTGGTTGGCTGGAATATTCCCTTTGCCAAAAACGGGTGGGGAGCCCTCCAGGGAGGCAGGAGTCTCCTCTCTCCCGTGCAGCCCAGCCAGGGTCAGCCAGCACAGAGCGGGGCGTCACCCTCCCAGGGTCCAACGACACCAGCTCAAAGCAGCCCAGCCCACGGCCCCGCGGCTGTGGGACAGGGATTCACAGACCCTCACTGCTATTTTTTTTCCCTTGGGAAATCTCAGAGTGTACACGGGTCCTTGCCAGTCAGGAATGGGAGCCCAAGCAGGGGCGTCCGGGCGCCCACCCGCAAGCTCGGGTGGGCACAGCTCAGCGGGGCAGTGTTGGCACAGAGCAGACGCAGACTTTCACACCAGGTCTGGGCAACAGAAATGAGCTTGAAAAGAAACAAACCAGACACACGGATTCACGTTTGGCAAAAAGACGTGGAAAATAAACGGACAGACAGAGCGAGGGAAGGCGCGGGAGGGCAGCGGTGACGTGGGCCTGGCTCCGGACCAGACCCGCGCCCTGGGGTAAGCAGACTCGCCGTCGGGCTCCCTGGGCTCAGGAGAGCGGGTGGCGCCTCCAGGACAGACTAAACAGAGCGTGGCCAGGGAGCCTTTGGGAGGCCGGGAGCGTCTCCTGCAGATGGGGGGATGGAGAGTGGCAACCACAGGAAGTGGGGCTGCTCCGAGGCCTCCAGCCACTTCACCGAGCGAGTAAAGCACTGGACCCCAGATGTGAGGAGGTGGTTCTGAAGCTGCAGCTGCCTTCACGTGGGGCCCGTGTAACTACCCGGATCACAGGCAGCACACGTAAGGGACACCGTCGCCGCAACAGCAGCAGGGACAGCTGTGACTGAGTCCACTTGGGCCAGCTGCAGCCTTAGAGCAGCAGCTTAACAGGAGGAGGAGGGGCGGAGGGGAGTTGGGGGAGCCGCAGGCCCCTGCTCAGTGTGTTAACACAGGACTTTCCCGACTCCCGGTCAGTGTCCTGAGCAGGACTGAGGGCCATGCTGACAACTCTGGTCCAATTTAAAGCCGGGGCTCCAGGGAGCCCTAACTTCTCCTCTGGGCTCCGCGTTTAGCAAGCACAGCAGGACTGGCCACGCTGACAGGGTCCCAGAGCCCTCGCTGGCTCACAACGTTGGCTTTCAGATTTCTCCCTGATGCTAAGGTCCAAGGACCGACCCTTCCAGGGCACTATGGACTGATTCCCTGTCCAAGGGCTCAGGTTATCTCTGCAGGATGAGAGCGGGGGTGTCTGCCTCAAACTTCCTGTGGAGGACACAAGACCAGGCCACCTGCCACAGGCGGAGGCGAGGTCGAGAGGAGAGGGCACGTCCTGCCCCCTCCCCATGGGGGCGATGGGGGTCTCTGCTCCTCCTTCCTTCACGTCCTAACATTCCGGCTCAGAGCGCGGGACTCGGGATGCTCCTGAGGCCTCCTGGCTTCTTTCCAGCAAGGGTTTCCAGCATCCTAGCACAGCCCACGCCTTCTTGCAGGAACTGCCGGGCAGGGGACAGAGCCCCGGGGTGAGGGCGGGGTGCGAGCAGGGAAGCGTCTCCCACCAAGGCCATGTTCAGCAGACTGCCACTCACCGGGTAAGTGGACCTCAGAGCACAGCTTATTGTCCAGTGCTTTCACGCTGGCGACGTCAAAGTCATTGTTATTGTCACACTCCATACCTAGAAATGCGCATGTCCTCTGGCCTGCAACGGAGCGAATGCAGTTAGAGAGGGCTGGCTGTGCTTTTCTCTGCTTTGCTGTCCTCAAAATAAAAATCTTAAGGATGGAGACAAAAACAAATCAAATCATATGTTAAAAAAAAGACAATAACTAAGTGGGTAAAGAGTGGACAATAAAGGAGTCAGACCGGGGCCTGCTGTGTTCTCTGCCCTGCTGCTTCCCTGCTGGCCCCTCTCTAGCCACGGCTCCTGGTGAGTTGGACTGCTGGGGGTCTGGGGGAGGCGGGCTCCCCCAAGAGCTGGGACCCAGCGCAGAGCTGGGCCAGGTGAGGTCCCGGGGGAGTTCGGTGGGGAGAGCTGGGGAGTGCCCAGGAGGGGTGACACTGCTCCTGCAGCATCTGTGGGTGCCTGCGGGGTGTGCTGGTGACCCCACGGCTCTGTGCAATGTCAGGACCGCAAACAATGAAAGGTGTCAGGCGCCCTGATTTTGTTATCAGCGCAGCCTCCCTACGCTCACACAGTCATGATGTACCTAAGACGTCATTTGGTATTTTGAGTATGTTTGAAGGGACTGATCCGAAACCTACAGGCCTGGAAGAGGAAAAGGGCAAAGTTTTACTTCTAAGCTCTCGTCTTTATCTCTTCCTTGGCAAGGCTGAGAGAAATCCCCAAGGGGGTGACGGAGTGTCGGACGGAAGCCGCTCTGTGCCTTTCAGAAGCAAGTGTTCTACGGGGACACTCACAAGTGACTCGGGAGCCTGCAGCGCTCAAGACGTCAGCCGAGTCGCTGAAGCTCCAGCCCCTGGGGTTGGCGTGCAGAGGTGCGGCTGAGGCGCAGCATGGCGGCCATCCCCTCCTCCAGGGCTACTCGGCCAGGCCAGACTGACCAAGTCCACATGCACACCCCCTGAACACCCAAGCCACAGCCAGCGCCAAAGCAGAAGCAACTCGGATGACATCTGCATCCAGGCTGGGGTTCAGGTCTGCTTTGGAGGTGCCCTTCTGCCAGAGGGGCCTCAGAGCAGCCGAGGGAAGACACACAGGTCCCTGGAACACGGGGTGTCCGTTCTCAGGTGTGATCTTCCCTGCCCCGCCCCGTCTTCCTACTTCCTGGCTCTGTGGAGCCCCCTTCTCTTCTAGCCTTACTCGGAACTCAGTTCCCCCAGGTGAAGCCTGAGTCGTCACACCAGCCTGCTGAGCCCCGACGGCCCGCTGGGCCGCGGCCTCTTCACACCGGGGCCGTGCCGCGCTGCCGGAGCCCAGGAGCCAGCCAGCCCCTCCTCCACGGAGGCCAAACCACACCCGCCAGCACGTCCCGTGGACGTGGCCTTTCCGTCTGATCTGAAGCAGTGAGGGCGACAGTGCCCAGTTTGCCAAGTCCTGCCCCTTAGGATCTGCAGCCCAGTGGCCCACCTCAGGGCCCAGGCGCCTGCTTTCCCTGGTGTGAAGGTAAAAGAAGAGCACGTGACAGCAAGATGGGGGAGGTGACGGTGCCCCCGAGCTCACAGGACATGGTTTAGCCGCTGTTGCTGAATTTTGGGGCTGCTGGCGCAGCTGAACGGGACTCAGCCAAACAGCTGAAGCGGAAGGACGCGTCGGGAGCCACCCGGGAAGCTTCAGAGCGGACTCGATGTCAACGTAGCCCTGGGTGTCCTCTGTGGCATCCTCCACCTGACATCCTTGGCGCTGGGCCCCAGAACGAGCTGGGAAGGTCCCAGGGGTCCCCCAGCACCCTGCTTGTGTTGATATTCCATCAAGAAGACCACCTTTCCCCAACAGCCGCACCCCGGCCGCACCACCACGTCACCCCAGTGCCCCTTCCTGGCGCCCCACAGCACCCGGGAACGCATGATCACGAGAGGGAGCCAAAGACCGTGTCTTTTACCATCTTCTTGCGTGGGGGACCCGTCCTCGTCCTCCATGACGTCATTTCCCTAGGACAGAGGAAGGCGCGTCAGGCTACGAGCAGCTGCCTGGCACGGGCGGGCGGGGGACAGAGCGCGGCGCCCACCCTGACGGTGTCTACCCCAGGGTCCAGGCCTGAGAGTCCTAGAAGGCTCAGCAGGGGCAGGTTCTGCTTGGCGGGGCGGGCTGGGCCTGCGGGGACCGGGTCTACGGCACCTTACTCGTGCCTGGGTGGTTAAGACCAGCCGGCTACAGTCCCGCGCTCACGATGCCCTCAGGTGGAGATAAACGTTGTCCAACAAAAAAGCGAACAGTGAGATGATAAAACTGTCAGAAACCCCTCAGAACCCAAACCCTGTCTGGGGGCAGAGCTCCTGGGAGAGCGTCCAGCTGAAGAGCGAGCTCCAGGGCCAGCCCTCCCTGCAAGCTGGGGGTCCTCAGCTGCCCACATGGCCTGGCAATCCTGTCGCCCCCACTGGATGGGGCTTCTGCATGGGCCCACGGGCTGGGGGCCTGCAGGAGCCAGGAAGTGCCTGCAACACAGTCGTCCCTGGTGGACACTCACTGGGCGAAGGACAAAGTGGGGGCCAGGGTGCGGGCTCTGGTGGGAGCTCCCTCTAGCACTCACTCCAGCCCTGTCACACCAGACCAGCACCCTCTGCTCATGCCTCCGGCCATGCACGCGGCTGCTCCGGCCACGCCCAGGCTTCTTCCAACACAGCCCCCTCCGGTGCACGCCCGGCGTTGCCAGCATGTTACCTCTGCGTCTTGCTCCTCCGCAGTGAGGCCGACAAAGTTGCGGTCTGGTGACGCCCCAGGCATCGCCTGTGAAGGGAGGGAGTCAGGACACCATCGCCCCTGCTCCCCGGCCAGCTCCCTGGTGCCCAACAGAAGAGCGGGACCAGGGGGTCTTCTGTGAAACCCTGAGCCCCTGGTATGTGCGGCCTGGCAGGGGCAGAGCTTGAATGAGCCACTCCCGACAACTGTGCAGCGCCCCGGGCAGCAAGGACACCCCCAGGCCTTACCTCTCCTTCTGAGGGGGCCCTGCTGGCAGCTCCGGGTGAGGGGAGGGCCTCTCCCTCCTCTTCGGTGCCAGGGGCGATGTAGGAGCCGGACATGGAGGACACGGTGTCGGTGCTGATCTGGGAGTGCTGGCTCTGGGAGGACACCATGGACATGACTGACTGGGCCAGGCTGCTGCTGGCAGGGTCTGTGGCAAGGGGAGGAAGCAGACGGGAGGGAGGTCGGGCCTGGCTCCTCGTCCCCGGACTCGGGCCAGACGACAGCGGCCTCAGCCGGCCTCCCCGGGAGGGTTTCAGATGCCAGATTGCCAGGTCCGGCCCCTTAGGTTCCAGAGCCCCGGAGCCCAGCTCGGGGCCCAGGGGCTGCTTCCCCTGCTGTAAGCCAGAGGGAGAGCACGTGACGGCGGGACTGGGTGAGCGACGGTGCCCCCTGAGCTCACAGTGCATTCTGGAGGGGCCGTCAGGGCCGCATGGACCAGGCTGAGGGGAGGACGTGCGTCTCTCCGCCTGTACCTTCTGGGGAGGAGATGGTGGAGGAGAGCGGCGTCCCCGTGCAAGAGGAGTGGTCAATGGCCCCTGATGAGGACAAGGTGAGATTCTCACTTTCTGGAGTCACACCTTCTTCCTGGGGGGAGACAGCAAGGGGCAGACGCGTGAATGCAAGTCAAACTGGCAGAGGATGGGGTGTCGGCGGGGGGCCCAGCTCGGAAGGGCGTGCAGGAGGCGGGTGGGCGGGTGGTCAGGCCCAGCAGAGCGGCCCCTCCTCCGTCACCCTCCTCTCTAGTGCCGCCCGCCCGGAACGCGTCTCCCAGGGGAGCCTGCGGCTCAGTCAGCCTCGGCGGCCAGGAGCAGCACCTGCCGGTCACACAAAGACTGCGGCTCGGGTGACACAGGTCAGCCAGCAGCTGTGACATGGGGACACCCCAGGCTTCCCCGGGGTGAGTACACAGCTCCCCTCTGAGGAGAAGAACACAAAGCCGGATGGGGGGCTAGCTGCAGCGCGTCCGCCTGCCTCCCCACCTGCTCTGGATGAGCCGCTACCGGTCACCCCCGCCAGGCAGCCGGGAGGTCCACTCAGCCCCGGCCCCTGCTTCTCTCTACAGATGGTGCTGGGCCCCGCAGTGGCTCCCACTCCGCCGGAACCAGCCTGGCCGGGACCTGATGTGCCACCCCCAACCGCCTTCCTCTCCGCGTGCAGACGGTGTCGCGTCCAGCTCCGGCCCTCCTCGCCCCAGCGCCATTGCTCCCATCTTGGCTGCCACCCGCAGGCTAAAATTCACTCAGCAAACACGGCCCGAGCGACACCCTGAGCCCGAGAGGCTGCCGCTCGCCAAGTGCCCTGTGCCTCCGCCCTTCGCCCTCTTGAGTAGCCTGTGAGGGCAGCGCAGGGGCGCGAACCTGTTTCCCTCCACATACACCCCCAGCGCTCCCCCACCCCAGGCTCCCCCCTGTGGCTCCTGCCTGGGACCTCTGTGGGGCCCTGGCTCTCCCTCCCGCTGACTCACAGGCCCACAGGCCCCGAGCTTTGCCCTGTCGAGTGCCCGCCCCCAGGCCAACGGTCAGGGCAGAGGCACCCTGAGGGCAGGGGCCGGCTGTCCCGTGGGGGGGCCGAGTGGACGACAGCAGAGTCGGCAGTTACCTCCCCGAGGTGCTGCGCCGGCGCCCGCTGGGCCAGGGGCCCCTCAGAGTCGCTGCAGGATGGCTCGTCCTCCTCTTCGTGCAGCACAGACGAGTTCTGGGAAATGGATCTTGGGAGCGGAGGGGAAGCAGCTGCAACCAACGTCCACTCACAGACAGAACGTGCCCCCGGAGAGCCAACGTCCAGGAGGAAGGGGCCAGGGGAGCCCCCGGGCTTAAGCAGGGGTGGGGAGAGGGAGGGAGCTCTGGCTCTCTGGGGTCGGGAAATCCAGGTTTTACCTTTAATTCCTTCAATAACCGTGTCTGAACTTGGGGAAAGGCACGGACATTTTCGGGGTCTCAGTATTTTCATCTCTAGAGTACCCTACTTTTATTCCCCGTCTGGAGGTGTCTCATGGATTGAAATGCTTAAGAGACACGGAGCACAGGGCTCCCCCCGGCACTGGATGGAGCGACACTCCTGGGGCCCCAAGTGACCCTGACTATGTCCTCTCCCCTACACCTCCCCCCTCCCCCCCAAGAGAGAACACACAGGAGACTCGGGGGTCTGATTCCCCTCGGGACCCACATGCCACCCACTTTCATCCCTTAAGAACTAGCACAAGCTCCCTCACCCCAAGCCTTCAGTGGAAGGAGAAGCCCTGGGCACAGCCCAGAGGGTCTACACCACCGCAGGGGCCCAGCGTCAAGGCGTGGGCCCCGACACTCACTTGGAGAGACTCCTCTTGAGCTTGAGCCCCTGGCTGCTGCAGTCAGACAGGCGGTCGAGCGGGGACAGCGTCCTGACAGGGGGCAGGTGGCCGTCGCTGCCATAGGAGGGCAGCGTGCCCGAGAGGTGGCCGTCCCCTAGCACGTGGAGCGGGGGCACCGCTGGGGACGGTGTGAGGGGCCCGTTGAGGGCCTCCAGGAGAGACACCACTTCATAACCCGGCGGAATGTTCTCTGAGGACTAGGGAAGCAAGCAGACCGGAGGCAAATGCGTTAGCCCGTGTGTGCTGGCACACGCGGAGGCCGCGAGCGGGGCAGGAAGGGCAACAGCAGAGAAGACAGGCTCCCAGGTTGCGCCCCCAGATGAACTTCTTTTCCTGACTAGAATGGAAAGATGCGTTGCTTGCAGGAAATTTGGGAAATACATAAAGGAGAAAGAAGGAAAGAAAATCATCCATGACCACAGTCATCACTTTTGTTAGCATTCTGGCGTCCTTGATGCTGGACGTGCAGCTCGGCATCCTGCTTATGTCACCGGACACAAACACTTCCCTCTCTACGCTGCGAGGCTCCTTGCGCTGGCTACTTGGGGTGCCCAGCTCCACCTCTGACCAACGTCTGAGGGGCGCTTTTGTGTGCAAACCACTTTTCTCACTCTAAGGCTTGAGCCTGCAGGTGTGAGTGTTCTGAAGCCACTCCCTGCTCCCAGCAGCTGGCAGCCGGCCTGCCCTCTTCAGGGGGTGCTCCCAGAGGGTGCTCCCACACGCCAGGCAGAAGGCCTCAGGAATGTCTTTTTTTTTTTAAGATTTATTTATTTATTTATACAAGCACTGGGTACAGTCAGAAGCGTGGGAGGGTGAGAGAATTCACCAGAGCCAGAGCGGGGAGCAGAACAGGCAGAAGGACCGAAGTACACTGCTGAGGGGAGCAGCGGGCGGCAGGAGAGGTCTGCGCGCCATGTGGGACCCTCCTCCGGTGGCCGGGGAGCAGCCGGGGATCGAACCCGCGCTGCAGAGGCTGCGGGCAGCTTCGCAACCCAGCGCTCAACCGCTGCACCACCAGGGGAGGCCCGGGACCTGCAGTGTCTTTAACAAAGAAAGTTTGAACATTTCAAAGGTGAATCGAGGACGGTATCTCCTTTTAATTTGCCTACTGTTGATTTTGAATGCGGCTGACTTTTCAAAAATGATGGTTAACCAGCTGTGCTTCCTCCTCTGAGGGTTTTTAAAAGCTCCTTTGCCCAAAGATACTAGCCCTTCCTCGGAGGTGTATGTGTGTTTTTTAATTTCAACGCTTGTGGTTTGCCTTTTAATTCTGAACAACTCTTACACAAATGAAGGGAGGATTTTTTTTCCTGTGGTAAAATCTACATATATCGTGACATATGATTTTTGTAGTGGCCCTTCGCTTTTAAGCTTTGGGAGTTTCTCTCATCCAAAGTCAGCTAAAGAATCATCTATGATTGATTCTAGATGTTTAATGCTTTTTCGGTCACCTTTGTGTCTAACCTGGTTATAGTCGCTCCACCTGGAGTCCACTTGTGCCCTCAGGACTGAGGTCCGATCCCGAGACACCTCCCTCAACAGCCGTCACCAGGAAGCTCGCCCAGTCGGAGGAGGCAGGGTCTGGCGTGTGGAGCCGCAGAGCTTCCTGGCCCTGACACTACCAGTCACACCACAAAACCCCATTATTGCCCTTACTCGGTTCCCAGGCTTGGTAGCCACAAAATGGGCCTGAGGAAAACAGTTCCCTTATTCAAGGATTAGCATAAACACAGAATATTGTTTACAAATCTGAGATAGTCTTTCCCTGGTTTCTGATTGCGGGGCGGGTCCCAGGGTCAGACCTCACTGCTGCCCCTGACACCGAGCCCCTCATTTCCCGTGGTGCTCCTGGTGGGTCTAACACCACGTGGCCTCAGCCTTGTGCTGCAGTTTGGTGACTTGCCGGGAGGCGTGTGAAAAGAGCCAGCCAGGAGGTGACAGGGCGTCCCCGCGGGGGCTGGTCGGAGCCGACTTACCGAGTGTTCCTCCGAGTCGGAGGTCTGCGATGAGATGATGGGGTTAAAGCTGGTGGGGGACAAGGGGCCCAACTTTTTCCTCATGGCTCGGATCTGAAGCAGCGCCCGGAAGGCTGTGAGGAAGCAAAGGGGCCGTCAGGGGTCCCCAGGGGGCGCCCGAGGCCCCCGAGCCCCGCCCCCGCCCGCCGGCCCAGCTCACGCAGGCGGCAGATGGGGCAGTTGTTGGCCTGGTAGCGCAGGGTGTCCGCGCAGGTGTTGCACAGGCAGAGGTGACGGCAGGGCAGGATCAGGGTGTCCCGGACGTCCGACAGACACACCACACACTCGGCGCTGTTGTCGCTCACCTCGTCCTCAGCCACCTGGCGGGGGGCAGGACGTGGCCGTGACGCGAAGGCCTCGCGTCCCCTGCTCTGCCAGCAACAGCGGCCACGTCTTCGTCTACACTGGATGTCGCGGTGGACCAAGCGAGTTCCTGGACTCGGTTCCACGTACTCCAGGACGTTTCTCTTGGGCTCATGAGGGGCCCCCCCACCCGGAAACCAGGGGGCAGAGCTCCCCAGAAGAACTGATGCAGACTGGCCCCTCACTTTTTAAAGACTTATTTCTAAAGTGACAAAAGCACGATCATCCAGGGCGGGGGAGGAGAAAGCACCCGGAGGGCCACAGCGGCCCCGGAAGATCCGTCAGGCGCGGGCGGTACTTGCCTTGGAATCCTGGGTGTTGTACTTGTTCTCGATGCCGTAGATCTCCTGGAGGAGGTAGCTGACCCCATCCACCTGGAGAGCAGACCCGGGAGGTCAGGGGCAGGTCGACGCCAGGGGGAGGTGGGAGGGGGGACTCGCCCCGCCCCTGGAAGCCAAGGGCTACTGACTCACGAGGGGGGAAATCAGAGGCCTAGGCAAGGAGAGGATGAGCTTCTTGACCCAGGTTTTCTCTCTGAGAGTGGAAAGAACGTCAAGTGTTTAACCCGCCCACCAGTCTCTCAAAGGGGAGCGGACGGCACACAGCCACCACCGCCAGGCACAGACCGGAAGGCGGTGGAAGCTCCTCCATGCCATGAAAGTTTAGAGGTTATAAAAATAAGGGAATGGAAAAAAGAAAGCGAGGGGACGGGGGTGAGCAAGAGAAAGAGGCGGGGAACACAGAGCAGAGAGAGCAGGACCGCGAAGGGGAGGCTGAGCGAGCCGGGCCCACCGCAGGGCCGCCCCTCACCACACTCAGCAAAGACCCACCTTGGCCTGTTTCGTAAGTGCCCCACGCCGGTGCCCAGCTCCACTCGCCTGGCCTGGGCCACACCACTGCCCACGCTGGCCCTTCTGATGTTTCTCTGCGTGGGCTGACACTTCCCCACCCCCCTCAGCACCAGCAGCCCCTCCCCAATGCCCCCCCACCCCGGTCCCTGATTTCGCCCCCCTCCCTCCAGCTTCACCGAGTCTGCCGCTAGCGCCAATCCGGCAACACAGGACAGATGAGACACTCGCCTCTACCCACCTCCCGCCTTCTCCAGGCCTCCTGAGGAAACAGGCGACCTCCCAGGCCCGCCCTCCAGGGAGCACCCTGGGCTGAGGACCGGTCTCCTCGGACTCTCTTTAAACCTTGCTTTAACCTAGTGAGCACACGGGGAGGACAAGTACTACTGACCACTACCGACCTCGTTAAGAGGTGTCTCCAGCACTTGACCCAGAAGCACGAATATGAGAATTTCAGATGTCTGCCACCCTCCCGTGGGGCGACCTTTCACTGCCTCTCAACCCAGGCCCACCCACGGGCTCCACACCTGGAGTCCACTGTGCCCTCAGGACTGAGCCCCGATCCCGAGACACCTCCCTCAACAGCCGTCACCAGGAAGCTCGCCCAGTCGGAGGAGGAGGCAGGGTCTGGCGTGTGGAGCCAGGCCTCCTCCCCCAGCATGCGTGCGTGGGAGGGAAGGTGCCGGCGCCCAGGGGTGTCGGGCTTCAGCTACACGTGTGTGCCCTCTAGTTGTTCTGGAAGGGGCAGAGCGGCAGCGGGCTCTGACGTTTAGAAAAGAAATGGTGGAATAAATTCAGCCCAGGGCTGGGTTCCCACCGATACTTTGTCCTTTAGTTTGAAATGCCGCTTGCCTTGACATTTGAAATAAAAAGAGCTCTCCCACCCTAACGCCAGGGACAAACCTCGCCCTTTCTTCCCTCGAGTCCTCTGCGCAGATACTGGCTGTCTCGAGACCAGCAACGCGGGAGCAGGAAGACGCGCGCGAGCAGTGTTCCTTTCAGGCCACCCAAGTGGTTTCTAACACAGAGAAATGCTCCCTTCCGCCCCCCCCCCCTGTTTTCTTCTCCAGTTTTGAAGAAGTGGGGGGGGGGCGGGAAAGAGTGTTTAGCGAAAGGGCAGAACAGAGACAAAGCACAGGCAAGAAATACGGGGAGCAGGGGAGGCCGACAGCTCCGGCCCCAACACTCACCACTTGTTTCTGTTTGAGGGGCTTGACGCAGAAGGTGCCGTCGGTGTGCTGCAGCGGGTCAGGACAGACGCTGTCAGGACAGTGGGGGGGGCCCAAGGTCCCGGTGACCTGCATTTCTCTCCCCCACACGCGTGGATGCCTCCAGGGCACACCCGGACTCCCAGCACTCCAAGGCCTGACTGGGGTCTCGTCTGACCCTCCCCTTGGAGGAGACCCGGGGCCACGCAGTGTGTTGATGGCGCAGCTGGGCGGATGCCACTGGGGCCCCGAGCGTGTCCCCTCCACGCCGCTGCCTCCCCAACCAGACCCTCTGCTGGGTTCAGGCCACCACAAAGCAGGGTGTCCTCACGCAAAGAAAGGACCCCACTGACCACGTAGGGCCCTACAAAGGTGCTCTTACCTTCTCGAAAGTGCCCAGCAGGACATGGCAGTGGCCAAAATACTCTGAGAGAGAGAAAGACGCAGGGGTGAAGGTCAGGACTCGAGCCACACGGGCCCTGCGTGTCCTCCCACTGCCCGTTCCTTGCGGCCGGTGGTCCCCAGCCGGGGCCGCAGTGTCACCCATGCTAGCCTCAGCAGCCCAAGGAGCTGGGGACGGGACTGGTGTGCTGCAGCTGCCCCGGTGACGCCCACGGAGAAGACGTGCTATTCTGGGGCACAAAGGGTGGAGGGTGAGCCCAAGAAGGCGCCTACCGTCTCCCTCATCCACCACAGCCTGGACCACGAGCGGGTACACCTCTCTGTCCAGGTCGAAGCTGAGCTGGAGGGAAAGAGGGAAACGCAAGAGGACGTGACATGTTCTGCTGGCACAGGAGTCGCTCGACAGCGGCTGGAGGAAGCATGAACCTCAGCCTTGCTCCTTGTTCAACCTTGGAACTAAGTCCATCCAGCTGCAGCCCCTAGTTTTAAAAAATCTGGCGATTTGGTCTGTGGACGTGACCTTCCAGGTGTCCCAGGTGAGGGGTGACTCTGGAGACAGGCACGAGGCGGGCGGTGGATCCCCTCAGAACCTGACCACGAGGCTGGGGGTGAGCAGGGCGGCCCAGCCTGCCCTCCGCTGGCGGACCCGCAGCACCCGCACCAGCCGGGCCCCAGCAGCCCGTCACCCCCAGTCACTGACCTCGTCCTCGGCCCACTCCGAGGGGTCCACGGTGTGGGAGGGCAGGCAGAACTGCTGGCACACCCCCCGCTTGTAGTGCACCGTCTCCGACTGCAGGCTGTTGTCCTTGGGGATGTAGCTGCGGATCAAAGAGGGAGCGAGGGGAGTTGCCCGGCTGACCTCTGCCTGCCCGGGCAATGATCGAGCCGCTCCACATACCAAAAAGAAAAATCTCCTTTATCGGCTCTTGCCTGTGCTCTTGCTGGATAACTACTGAATCCCTTGGTTCAACCCACACCCCCAGAAAGGTGGCTACGTGGAGCTGCAACAGCCTCTTGGGGACCCGGAAGACCACGCCCCCAGGGCGGGCGAGGGTGGCACAGTGGCGCCCGGCTCCAGGATTTCCAGCCAGACACAGCTCTCGCTGTCGCCCCACGGGTGGGCACTGGGCTGCCTGGAAGGGGCGCCCCGCGCCCCCCCCCCGCCGCCCCTACCTGGCAACGCCATTCTGGAACTCCTCGGTGGCCTGGTAGTAGATGGTGATGGCCACGCGTGCGTCCGTGTCGAAGGTGAACTCCACGTTGTAGTGGACCCTGGCCTTGCCGGCCTCTTCTCCGGGGCCCTTCACTTCCTCAGCACATCTAGAAAACCACAGAGACTTTGGGGGGGCGAGCCGATCACAGGTGTCAATCTGTCTCTTGGAAAGTTTTGTGTGACCTGCGGTGGGCTCTGCTCAGGCCCTCGGCCGGGGGCGCTGGCCTTCTCACCTTCCCGAGGCCCACAGCCGGCTGAGCTCCCCTGCTCACTGGCTGCTGTGGCTTTCGGGCGTTTTTTGGTTTTCATTTTAATCGAAGTTACTACTTAGATCATTTAAATCGCTTCCACAGGGGCCTCCCTGGTGGCGCAGCAGTTGAGTGCTGGGTTGTGAAGCCGCCCGCAGCCTCTGCAGCGCCGGTTCGATCCCCGGCTGCTCCCCGGCCACCGGAGGAGGGTCCCACATGGCGCGCAGACCTCTCCTGCCGCCCGCTGCTCCCCTCAGCAGTGTGCTTTGGTCCTTCTGCCTGCTCTGCTCCCCGCTCTGGCTCTGGTGAATTCTCTCACCCTCCCGCGCTTCTGACTGTACCCAGTGCTTGCATAAATAAATAAAAATAAATCTTAAAATAAATAAATAAATAGATCGCTTCCATGGGCTGGTTACAGAAACAGCAGCAGCCACTCGCTCCACTCCCGCGCAGCTGAGGCCTCTGACTCCACCCGCAAGCCCCCCTGGGAGTGAGCACCCCCCACCACCGCCACCCGGATTCTGTGCAGCTTGCAGCTCACAACTCCCAGGGTTTCTTTCTTTCCCTCCCTGCCGGCCACCCCCTGCCACCTTTTCCGCCCCCCGCCACCCCCAGGCTGAGGCATCACAGTTCCTAAGTTCAGTCCCACATCATGGGGTTACATCGACATTTTTCAGTCCAGCCTCTGCGCATCTGTGATTATTTTTTTTTTCCGGCATGCGTTTCTCTTAGGGTCTGTGGTTATTTAGTTTAGTCTTTTTTCAGTTGCTTAGTTTTCCATCGGCTTCACCGCCAGTCCAAACCCAGGGTCTCCGCTGGTTCTGGGCCATGTGGCCCAGGCCCCTGGGCCTGCTCCCATCTGGACCCCTGGCCCTCGGACCAGCACACAGCGGCCACCCTGGCCCCCTGGTGAGTCCTTTTGCCTCACTTCATGCTTCCTCTTTTGGGGGGCAGGCATCCATTTGGGGGAACACAGCTTCCATCTTCTTGGAAACGGGTGTGCTGGAGGCATAACCTTTCAAGATTTTATTCCACACTTGCACGGCATTGGCAGTCTGGCTAGGTAAAGAATTCTACGTGATAAATACACAAGCAGCCATTTGAAGCATCACCGCCTCCCGGCTGCGGGTCGCTCTCCGGGAGTAGCAGCTGTTGTACCGTGACGCCCTTTCTCGGCACCGATCGTCATGCGGGGCCCTCAGTAGCCTTCCAGTGAGGAAAACCGGTGCCCCGGGGTTCTGGGAAGGCTTTAACTCTGTATGTCTGATTCCCCAAAGAACAGTTTTTATCTCTTCTGCCAAAGGCCTGGCAGCGGCATTCTGAGGGCAGGGGCGGAGGGGAGGCAGGGCCGGGCTGGAGGGCTCCGCACCCAGGCACCTACGTTCACTCAACCCTCTGGTTGGAGCCCAGCCCTCAGGTGTGCCCGGGGCGCCCCTGTCCGGAGAGTCCTGCTTTTGACCTTTCCAGCGGGAAGGGCTGCCCTGGCTGCAGGAAGAGGGAGACCTTCCCGCCAACCCTCTTGAAGCCTTGCACCCCCACGTCCAGGGGCCCCGGCGCTGCCAATTCCGGAGCCTCTTGGACTGTCCCCGAAGGGCTGGTTCTTCCTTCTGCTCACTCAGGAGCCCCAGTTCCTGGTCGCCGGCGGCAGCTGACACTCACATCTGCTTCCTGTTCCTGAAACTCTGTTCCCGTTGCTCTTGTCCCGCCCCAATTCCGTGGAGTCTGCTTTTAAAGAACACTCCATCGTTCAGTGGCCTTTTGAGAAGCAGCAGAAGATGTTCAACCCTCCATCTTTGCCTGAGAATCTGAGAATCAAAATTCACTCTTCCCACAAGCTCGGAGAAACCCAAGCCTTCACCCCAACATCCTCGAGCACCAGGCGTGCCGCTCCCACTGTCCCCTGTGTCCGCACCAGCGCGGAGGCCCGGGCTCCTCATCGCCCGGCACACAGGCTGCAGCCCGGCACGCTCGAGCACCCAGCAACGGAGGGGCTTGGCGCTCGGCTCCAGGGCTTCTCTGTGGTGTCGTCTGGCGCGGGGACTGGGCTCACATGGGCCTGGTCTGGCTCTCGAACCCGTGTCCATCAAAGAGGTGGGGCATGTGTCTGTGGCGAGCGGCGGAGCTGACGACGCTGGTTCCAGGGTCTCCTTAGCCTCCATCTGCAGGACGCCCTGTCTCCCCAAAAGGTGGGGGCCAGCAACAGACTTGCCCATGGAAAAGTGCCCGGCCCCCAGAGCTGACCCAAACGGGCAGCAGCTAGAGAACTTCAGGGACAGAGGATATTAAAAAGTAAGAGAAATGAATGGCGGCTCAGGCCAGGAGTTGGGGTTGGGGGGGTCGGGGAGTGAGCACAGTGTGGGGGGGGTCGTCTGGGTGGTGAAAGCCTTCCAGAGTCACACAGCAGTGGGGACCGCCCAGCCCAGGGACACCAGCAGGTGAACTGAGAGTTCTGTGAACTGAATCCCCATACAGGTGCAATATTAAACAAATTATCAGGGAGAAAGCAACGCCCTCATGTCACAAGCCTCGTCTACACAGCACAGGCGGGTCTCCGAGTCACCATCCTTGTACGTTCAGAAAAACCGGGACCTCTGATTTTCCCCAACCGGCTTGTCTCCCCAGGGAGCCAGGGAGCCCGGGGGACGGACTTCTGGTCTCAGGGAAGGACAAGGCGGCCAACGCCGGTGGAGCAGACACTGACCGTGCCGGACAGCCAGCGGGGGACGCTGGGAGCTCCTTGGGGGGCAGGGCATGCGAGACAGAAGAAACAGGGCAAGGTAAAAAACAAGACCCCTATCCCGAGCGCAAATCTCCCGATTCTCACAGAGGCTGGCTGAGGAATCCGCACAGTCCACTGTTCCCCCTCGATAACTTTTCTTTAAAAAATAACCTCATGAAATCGGGATCAAAGTGAAGCTTCGGGGAAGTCTGAACGCTCCAGACGCTAGACACCCATCTAAGGAGAGCGCCGTCTCCCCCGGGGTGGGCGGCCGTCCCTTGGGGGCGGGCGCAGGAGGCCTGGTCCCCGACTTACTTGACGAGTCTCAGGGTGTCCTTCCGGATGTTGATCAGGCTTCGCAGGGTCTTCACAGGTTCTTGGGGAGGCGGGGCTGCATAGGGGAACTGTGGAGACAGAGGGGGGGCGGTGAGCTCACAGCTGGGGGCCGCAGAGCACGCTGGTGAGGAGCGCTAAGGGCTGGCCCCCACTGAGTGAGGACAAGACCCCCCTCATCAAGACCCTCACGTGAAGGAGCTGCTCGAGGTCACAGCCAGAGGCAGAACTGGGGCTGGATGGGGCAGCAAAAGAGCTGGATTTGTCTGCTCTTTTCCACTCTATGGCGCTTCTTCATGTCGGCACTCAAAACGTGGCTGGCTGATAAAATCTCTGGCGGACGCCCCAGGTTCCCAAGGACACACCGCGGCCACGTTCGTCACTAGAGGCTTTTTCTCTGACCTCGGCCCACAGGGAGCCAGCGGGGCAGGAGAGAGCCACTCGGTGCGCTGGAACTGAGGAAGGCAAGGGAAAGAGAAGCCCCCGCTGTGTGCAGAGCTGAGGCCCAGGCAGAGCCAAGAACGTGGCCCCTGCGGCTCATGGTTCCTTAAGGAACAAGCCGGGAGCTGCCGGGCTGGGGCGGGGGTGTCGCCGAAGGCTCACGGCTGTCTTCATCCCCATCACCATTTACCCGGCCCTTCTCTCCGTCCCCACCCAGATGTCTGGTTTTGCGGTACTGAATTGATGATCATGAGGCAATAAGGGGAAACAGTGAAATATTTAATTGATGTTAGAAAATTAAGAATGATTTAAAATGTTCCCAGTATTGTACTAATGTTAACGGGGCCATGAGCAACTTTTATACCCAGTGCCCAGAGAACCATCTGGTCTCTGAAGCTTTGCAAAGCCGCAGGGCTGGAGTTCAGGCATCCGCCCCACCTCTGCCCACCCCTGCCGTCAGCACATGGCGGCCTGGCACCCTCCACGGCGCCTTCCCGGTTGTTGCCGAAGGTGGCTTTGACCTGTGATGCGTTCAGCACTGTGGCTGGTAACTCACAGATCTGAGAAGGCGCCTTGTGAGAAACACATTCCATCCACCAGAGGTGCGTTCAGATTATCCACTTGGTGGTCTCATAGCAACATTTTACTCTTGAAATACGCCAGTTGGCTTTGCTAAGGGCAGAGCGGGACAGGGCCTCGCTGAAAGCTGGAAAATCACCAAAAAGTACAAAATCAGCCATAATCTCACTGCTCGGCACAGCCCAAGGGACCATCACAGCAGGCCTCCGCCGGCCCCACCACTGCCCGGGCCAGCTCTGTCTGCACCTGCTGTTGCGTTGTCTTTCTTCGCTGAGAGAAACAGTGAACACTCGTCAAGTCTGTCACTTGACGCCACCCACACATTAGAGTTGGAGCCGACCTGACTCACTCGGCTCCGAGTTACTCAAAGGCTAAATTGGCTTTACTCTGTGTGGCTCCAGGTGCCAGGGGAAGGCCTTGTCCCGACATTTCCACGTGCCTGTTTGATTATGTCCGTGGGACAAACTCCTGGCAGTGGAATTACTGGATCAAAGAGTAAGCATGTTTGTAAGACTTTTAAAAATATTTTGCCCAATTGTTCCCCGGAAAGCTGGTCCCAGTTTTGCTCTCCTTGTCACCGTGTCGGGGGCCTCGCGTGGAGGCCATCTGTGGCCCGCCCCCACCCCGGCGGTCACACTCAAAGAACCTAAAACAATTTTAAAATAAGCTTAAGCAAAAAGTAATTAGGCAGGAAAATCTGACACAAATGCAAGTCTATGCTAAAGCCAAAATAAATGACTTTGGGATTAAAATTGTTTTCTGGAGTAGCGTCGCTAATCGTGTTCACCTGCACAGGTACCGGGCGTGATCCACGGCTCCTACCTGAATTTCTAAAAAAAGAGGTGGGGATGTTCCTTCATATTTTACCCTTTCTCCTCCACACACCCGCAAAAAAGGAAAAACAAAGGAAAAGAAAAAAACAAAAGCTAGCATTATCTTCCATTTAGCACAGAGAGTTGGTAACAGAACAGTTGGCCAGGAGGCCCGAGGTGCTCAGCTCTCAAGGAGAAATAACAGTGGGACTGACTGTGTTACAGGAACTATCCTTTAGACTATAATAAATTCACATTTTTGGAGCTCCCCTCCCTCTCGCCTCCCCAAAAAGTAAAGAATAGGAAATCTGTCAGGTGTGCCTAACCCTGTTTGTGGGCTCGCTCAGGTGAGCCTTCGGGCCGAGGTCGTCTAGAAAGCCTTGAGGAAGAGGTGGCTTTTGATCTGGACTTTTGAAGGACAAATGTAACAAGCATAAATTTGTAAATTCGGTGAGGACAGGGGAAAAAAAAGGAACAACAGCAACAGAGGCAACCTGAAGAAAACATTCTCTGCTCTTCACACAGCCTCTCCCTCCTCCCTAAGCCAGCGCGGGCCCCCACGCCTCTCTCAGCTTCTTTGCGATCTTCTTTACGAAAATGCTCATTTCTTGAGCACTTACTATGGGCCAGGCACTGTGCCGAGCTCTTAGAGAAGGAAGTGGAGTAAGAGGCCCAGCAACCTCCCCGAAGTCCTATAAGATTTTCTTTTTTTAGATTTATTTTATTTATTTATTTATTCATTCATTCATTTATTTATTTTTTTAATAGAGGCATGTTTTGTTTATTTATTTATTTGTTTGTTTGTTTATACATGCACTGGGTACAGTCAGAAGCGCGGGAGGGTGAGAGAATTCACCAGAGCCAGAGCGGGGAGCAGAGCAGGCAGAAGGACTGAAGTACACTGCTGAGGGGAGCAGCGGGCGGCAGGAGAGGTCTGCGTGCCATGCGGGACCCTCCTCTGGTGTCCGGAGAGCAGCCGGGGATCGAACCGGCGCCACAGAGGCTGCGGGCAGCTTCGCAACCCAGCGCTCAACTGCTGCGCCACCGGGGAGGCCCCAAAGTCCTATAAGTTTTAGGGAGCAGAGTCGAAGCCAGAACACATCCCACCCCCATCTTTCCTAAGAAGCTCCTGGATGAAGCTTCGCACTCTGGAAAGAGTCCCGAGGCTCAGCGTGCTGGCCGCTAAAAGAGCTGAAAGCACAAACCTATTCCTTTGCTCATTCTTTTTTCTTATCGAGACGCCGATGAACGTGGTCACTGGCCTGCGATATCCTTAAACCCGCGCCCTTACCGAGGTATATTTAAAGGAAAAGGAAGATCTTATTTCAGCTCAGAACCCGAGACTGCACTCGTGTGCTAACAGACGAGCGTGACCTGGAAGCAAAGCGTGGCCTTCACAGGCCTGAGGGAGACGAAGACAAAGCTCAGGCTGGGCCTGGGACCGAGTTCTTTCTGGAAGCGGCTGCTGTGCCAGCCTACGGTACCCCACTCAACGTTGAACCCCAGCGTCGACTGTTCCCTCAGTTCACACCCGCAGAGCTCCCACTTCTTTCCTGTGGCCTTGGAAGGGGAGTTGTCTACTGGGTTAGGGTGACAAGAAGACCCGACAGTCTTTCCTCTCGGACACAAGCTCCCTGGCACAACAGGGCCCGCAGGCGGGAGCCAGCCTTTCCTCTCTTGCACCCCACGCGCCACCAGGCCCACGGATGGAGGAGACCGACAGGCCTGAGGCTCACAGCCTGCATCTCAGGGTCCCCTGGGGTCAATAAACTCTTCACAGCGTGTGCGTGTGGGGCACTTAATGCAGCTTCTAGAATTCCAGGGCACGGGGGTAACACCGACAGGCTCCAGGCAAGGCTCCTGGACAGAAGTGGGGTGTGGCCTGCTCAGGCATGCTGGACAAGCGCAGAGGCCAGCACTCCCAGGACAAAGAGCAAAAGGAGCACGGGAGAGGCGAGGGGGCGCTCCTCTGTGCCCCCGGCTCTGCAGGCCTGTCACCCGCCGTCACCCAGGGGAAGGCGACCGCAGGGCTTCCGCCTCCACCGCCCTGGAGCGGAGCCCTTGGCCGCTGGCCGGGTGTTCAGGGACCCGGCCACAAAGGGTCACCGCAGAAGCCTCAGGTCCTGCCGGCCTGGGGGAGCGTCGGGATCGGGGTCCCCCCGTCGTGCAAACGCGGGCGCCTCAGCAGCAGCGGGGTCTCGCGGGGGCCCGTCACGGCGGCGTGGGGGGCGCAGCGCCAGGGACGTCTCCGCGGGGGACCCGCCCGGAGGACGCGCAGAGGACGGGCTCTCCCCCACTCCCTTCCCCCCACCCTCGCCGCCCGGGTCCCCGGCCGAGCCGCACAGGGGGTCCCTGAGCTGTTTCCAGGACGCCCCAGCCCCAGTCCCAGCCGGCCGGGGACCAGGACGGGCCCGACGCCCCTCCCGCATGGGCGCGCGGGTGCAACACCCGCACCCCGAACCGGTGAGCCAGAGGCGGGGGGGGGGGGGGGGGGGGGGGGGGCAGCGCCTTGGGCCCCGAGGCCCGCGGCTTCCTTTGCCGTTTGTCGCGCATCGGCCAAGCGCCACCTGGCGGCCGGCGTGGAACTGCCGCCTGTCCCGCCGCGGGTGCGCTGTGCGTGGGGTGAGTGGGTGCTGGGGGTGCGCCGTGTGTGGGGTGAGTGGGTGATGGGGGTGCGCCGTGTGTGTGGTGAGTGGGTGCTGGGGGTGCGCCGTGTGTGTGGTGAGTGGGTGCTGGGGGTGCGCTGTGTGTGTGGTGAGTGGGTGCTGGGGGTGCACCGTGTGTGGGGTGAGTGGGTGCTGGGGGTGTGCTGTGTGTGTGGTGAGTGGGTGCTGGGGGTGCGCTGTGTGTGGGATGAGTGGGTGTTGGGGGTGCGCTGTGTGGGGGGGTGAGTGGGTGGGGGTGCGTGTGTGTGTGGGGTGAGTGGGTGTTGGGGGTGCGCTGTGTGTGTGGGGTGAGTGGGTGTTGGGGGTGCGCTGTGTGGGGGGTGAGTGGGTGCTGGGGTGCGCTGTGTGTGTGGGGTGAGTGGGTGTTGGGGGTGCGCTGTGTGTGTGGGGTGAGTGGGTGCTGGGGGTGCGCCTGTGTGTGTGGGGGTGAGTGGGTGTTGGGGGTGCGCTGTGTGTGGGGTGAGTGGGTGCTGGGGGTGCGCTGTGTGGGGTGGTGGGTGCTGGGGTGCGCTGTGTGTGTGGGGTGAGTGGGTGTTGGGGGTGCGCTGTGTGTGGGGTGAGTGGGTGTTGGGG